CTTGTGCCTTTCAGGTGAACGACAGCCACTGACCGACAAGAACAAAACCGACCCGGGAAACTTGGGCAAAAGCCTCGATCCTGTGTATCAATCCGTGAATCCGTGAAACCGTGAACTGAATGTCATTGGTTTGAAGGCAATTTCAGGTCGTTGGGTTTCGTTTGTGGATTGGTGAGTTTTTGTATATAAGTATGATATTTCGCTCACTTAGGTTTTACAGGCTAATACCGACGAAGTATTGCTGTTTAAGGATGAGTTGTGTGACGCCTGCAGAATATACGCATGTCATTAAAGTGGAAGAAGTTATACAGTTTTGTATGCGATGCTTGGAAAAAGTCGGGGTGAATAAGGACCACAGTCGGGAACTGGCAGATGTTCTTGTGGCTGGAGATCATCGTGGGCATTACAGTCATGGTATAAATAGACTTGGTAAGGTAATTACACAGCAAATCTACGTTAACAACAAGAAATGTACGTTTTGGATGTGGAAAAGAGCGTTTGTGAGAAAGCAGGAGAGCCAGTTATCGAGAAAGAAACAGTGTCAACTGCCTTAGTGAATGGCCGAAATCTCCTGGGTCCCGTCGTTGGAAATTTTTGTATGAAACTTGCAATTGAAAAAGCCAAAAAAACTGGTATTGCTTGGGTCACCGCATACGGTGAGTATTCATCCTATTAAACATGAATTTACTTATCCTTTTGAAGGCTCCAACCATTTTGGCATTGCTGGGTGGTATAGCTTGATGGCTTCAAATGCTGGCCTGCTTGTGAGTTATTCGTATGTGGCTAATGCTTCCTATCTAGGGAATGGCATTCACGAACACTTCTCCCTTGGTTTACCCAACAAGGTCAAAACAGGTGCGTTAATGTGTTGTGTATATATTTAGAAATATGTATATGTAGAAATACCTCAAGGTTTAATATTCCGCAATGCACACAACAGTATGTCCCACTAGAATCCGGTATGATCTGATAACCGGGAAATGGGACTTATTGTTGCTTTAGAATGTTGACTGAATATTCACCATTGCTTCATAGATCATCCAGCGCTGAGAGTTATGGTACTGACTAGTCTACTCGGTAGTATTTTTGATATGCTGATGTAGCAGTTGGAGATTGTTTCACTTTTAGATATCGGAATTGTTTTCTCACAAGGTTTGTCTTACTTTACCAGGTGAAAATGGTGATTTGAAATCCAAATATATTCCTGTCATGTTGGGCTATCTGTTTCCTCTCGGCATTTCTTTGAGGCTCGGTCTGGTGAACACAACCGCTTCTTTTTTGACGGACATATGTAGTAATGCTGTCAACCTTGTCTATGTTAACGGTAAATCAATGATTTATGGTATTTACTCTTATATGACGAACTCGCTTTATGATAAAGTTCTCGACATAACTTAGAGAAGCCCGATGGCAGTTGACTTAGGCGGAAGCCGAAGTTTTTCATTTCCTGTAATCATACTGGGCTCTGAAGAGTGACGCATTGCATACAAATTTAAGTAGCTACGTTGTGTAATCACCGCACTCAAGAGGACTGTCTCTATCGGGTATGAGTAGAGTACACAGAAGCGTTAGCTGATGAATTCTAAGCTTTCCAAAATGCACACACTTGAGTGCTTGCGTGCGTGTAAAGGAAGATTGAATTTTATGGGTATAAGGATTTGTCTGAGCCACAGCGGGTGTTATGTTGGCCGATCAGCCGCTGAGTTGCGGTTTTAGAGCGTACACAGGTGATAGTATTGTCACATCAAGATTTTGTTGATTAAGTCTGTAATGTAAAGCTCCAACCAATAGAAAGGAAAACCGCCTAAAAAATACTGTTGAGAAATGGGTAAAAGTACATCTCATAATGGTTAGTCGTGGACGAATGAAGCTTTCGTTGTTGAGAATTCCAAAAATTGACTGTCTTTTTGGAGAAATAAGATCCAATAAAGTAAAAGAATAGAGTTTTCAAAGCCTTGGCACATTTCAGAAAAGACTCTGTTAGACAGACATTCAAGTGTTGCTTCTTTATCAGATAACTACGGCGCATATGTTATTGGCCGGCCACGGTCGTTGTTCAGGTTGTCCAAAATGTTCAGTTATTTATCGAATTGAGATGTGATCTATAAATTGTGCATTACGAGAGCGGGGGCATTAGCAGTGGCGTCAGATCGAAGTATTGGTGAGACTCACTTATACATGCTGTATTTGAGTTGCCCAACTGAAAAGAAGTTTATCTCTAACAGTTTGCGTACAATGTGTGAGAAGTCTTTGTGATATCAAATACGGGTCAATGCAATTTAAGGAGGGTCGTTTCAACAGAGTAACTGGTTTACAAATTTGTGTCTATTGCTGCAGTGCTTGCGCACTTTACAATGGTGGTCTTCATGGCGTGAGTGACGCCACAAGAGCAAGATATTTATTCTGTAGTTTCTGATTGGTTTGGGTCTTTTCACGCGTGAGGTTTTAATTATAGTATATTTGGATCGGTATGCGCTGCTCATTTGTCGTTTGCAGCTAACGTGCGGATAAAATGGTGCTCTTTTTAGATTGTTCGAATTTTTTTCTTTGGTATAAAAGTCTCCGTACGGAGTTGAAGTAAAACGAAGTGCATTCCACTTTACCCATTTTAAATACACCCGTCGGAGCGTGTCGTTTACTTTTTTCTAATGTATCTTTAAAGGCATAGTTGGACAGACAGCCGTCAGGGTATTCAAGTAATCCATTTTTTGTTAATTATGTGTATTATAAAACTGAAATCAACATGCATGTTCGTTAAACCCAAGTGAGACGCTGTCAGTGGGATCAGTTGAGCGTCCTTCGCGAACAATACCAGACACAAACCAAAGGCACAACGATGGGCGAGCCTTAGCTAGGCTGTTTATCTACCAACAAACAGCATACGCGTCATTATGATTGGTTAAGTGTTGTGTCTTGCATTGTAATCACATGCAAACAGAACTGTTCGGGTTCCACGCGAGGAGCGAAAAAATACCGCGACGTCCGGTTTAAATGCAGCTCTTTTAAATTTTCTTGTCACGATATGTATTCTAACAACACTTTGCCAACAATTGCTTGGAGTAGAATACGGCACCACCTTGAGTGGATAATAGCTTATCTAAGATGACACTTTTCAATCATATTGACTTGGTGTGCTCAATAAGATGCTTTGAACAATTGAATTCCTTATCAAGAAACCGCTTGCACACCACCCATTTTCTCACTTAATGGGGCCAATAAACTCTTGCTGTAATTCATAGACTCCAGTGAACAGATATCTTTAGATGCTTAAGGTCTTTAAATGTTAAAGGTCAAGTTTCAAAGCCATAAAGCAAGGCTGCTCCTACATTTACTGTGTGTGGACGATCCTTCAGTTTCAGAAAAGCTCCGTTTTGACACTAGTAACGCGTGTTAAATTCACATGTTACAGTACAATGATGCTTCGTACAGCTGATCAGGTCATCAAACTAAAACCATTCATTTTGAAGTTACAGAGAAGCACGATATAATAGTCAATCTTGGAATAAGACCACTTTAAAGGCGCGAAAATCGCATGGAAGCATGTGATCACCTCCAATAATCTAGTTGAGTTGCTTTACGCAGATAATGGTTGAACAACGACACATTTTGCCCTCACAATCTGAGTTCACTGATCTTTCTATGAATGTGGTTTTGATACTAGTTTAATGGTTGTTTGGCGTGTGTGCTCCACGGTAGCGTCAGCGACATAAAGAAGGGAATTCCACTAGTTGACAAAAAGCTTCTGAGCAGACGATTGTGCACTCCAACCTGAACTAAATTGTGGGAATAATGGGCACAAGTAGTATTTACAAATTTCAAAAGCACTCCAATCTAACCAAGGGCATTCAGGCAAGTTTTTTATGAAACCTTGATAACCGCGATTGTTATTCGACACTTGATATAGTGTAAAAGTACGATCAGTACGCTTTATCTCTGATCAAGATCCTGTTGGACGCTGTCGGCCAAATTTGCTCGTAAAAAATTGGAGGAATCCAGCAGCCCCATCAAAATGGGTTTGTCATTTAAACGGCTTATTGTTTGAACAGTTGGTTTGAGTATTCATTTAAAGCACGGATACGACCAACGAAAATCCATGATTCCCTGAAGCATGCCTTGCCTAGTCAAAGCGCATTACAAAGTTTCTCTCTCTGTAAACAACGCCAACCCACTGGGTTCACAAATTCGATGGCGCTTTGAGACGGAAGGACATACCAACGTTTTGTCAACTAAAATGGTTATAAAATGACATATCACGTCTTACAGAAGGCAAGTTGAATGCACACAGCACCCTAAACAGTGCTTCTTACTGAAAATAAAATCCCCAGTATTATCTTTGATAAGAATACTTACATAAGGCCTTTTAGGCTGTATTCTTCGGGTTAGCTGAAACAGCTAGGCCATTCTCGCCGGCAGTAGTAAGAGCTTCCCTCGACTATGCACCGGGCTTTGTGAGTGACACGTCTCTTTTTTACTATCACTGTGCTTCATGAGCTCTATAACGCATGATAGTTAAAAAGTAGGTACGTCACAGAGATCTTAATGAGTAACTGGTCTTAACCAAGGCCAATAGCACACTTTCCTCAAGAGGCAGCTTTAGCCTGTATGGACAACTTGTGTACTAGACTTCACTCACTCCTGCCAGCTATAGGATGATTTTAGAACAGTGAAGATCTTCGTCAGCATTTTTCTTCAGATTCTCATTTTTATCTGGGACCTGGGAAACTGGGAAATGCCACCTAGATATCACCACTGGTAGACTATCACTGAACTCAACCAGACTACGTAAAATCAGGTACTGGTGAACAGCCTTGTTACAAGACATCTGTTCACTTTCTAGTACACTGCTTAGTTCTGACCACGGGCACACATATATATTTGGCTTCCCTATAGAACAAGCTGGTTGGTGCAAGTCATCCCACTTAGCTCCACAATATCGGGTCGAGTTGACATAATTACTTCCAGAAGGCAGTAGACAGTGCTAGTAGCTATGGTTAGCATGTGGACTGGAAAACATGGAAGAAGCCATGTTCACTGCTTTCAAAATTGTCTACCAGTGGTGATCGAGCACTCCAACAAACACTGAATTCGGTCACAACCAGCAACCCTCATTGATGTCAAAAACTATGTCAACGTAAAACGGTTATGCTGTCACTCAAACACTGAGCAGTGAACGGCCAAAGAATTGAAAAAAGACTGGTAAACAGTGAAAACCCGAGAAACAAATAAAGCCTTCGAAAAAATCGCACCAGATTTCAGCTAATCCAACCAGCTCTCCCAAGGATGGCAGCTGTTTGTCAAACAATAACTATGAAGGATTGAATCCTAGTTCGTTTGGAGAAACTTTGTCTCGAGTGGTGCGCCTAACATTTCGAAGAAACGTTTAGCTAGACCAAATCAACCCACTATCTGCAAAGACCACACAAACCTGAGTGAACATTAGTCTGTTAGCCTTTACCTTGTTCTGGACCATTAAATTGCACCTACACACTGTACAACGTATGATACAATGATATTTATTGTTCCGTAAACTTAAATTGCAATAGTGGTGTCTCGCACGAGGGAGATATAAAACGAAATATATTCTCTACCCAGGCAAGTTTTATCGGGTACAAGTTAACCTAATTCAGACCAATGTTGAATGACTGGTTAGATGAGCATTATAAGTCGAAAATAGTCAGTATGGGTATGGTCATACTTATTTGTTCATCTCATCAGCATTGTCAGCTGTAATAACCGCGTCCTTGTCGTACATTGGTTATAGCTGCCACAGTTTCATTCACCGATGATTCGAGGAGGTGGGGTAGGAGACTGCTAATTGGAGGCCTCTGAACAAAAAAAACTACTATCAATCCCAA